ATAATCCCAAAGTCTAGTAGTTGTCCAAAATGTTTTGGTTTGTTGGGCAGATGGAAATAAATTAGTGAATCACGAAAGTTTGGTTTGGTTGGTTGCATGGAAGTTAAATCATTTTGTACATTAGGTGTATTATTATTTGGTTAATTGGTTTCATTGGTTAGCAGTGTCGAAGCCAAACCAAACCACCTAAACCAAATAAGCTAATTGTTTAACCAAATCAAACCAATTATTCAAATTAACCAAACCAAATTAACCGAATGCTAGCGATTAATATGGTTACCACGGTAACCAATCCGTTTTAACACCCCTACTCATGATTGGTTTTTATTTTTGGAGGACATGGGTGAAAGAGATAAAAATCCATTTCTGGTATGACTGACTGGTTTTCCCAATTTTCATTGACATTGACCAAATTTGATCGAAGCCCCATTTTCAACCAGTTTGGTGACCGATATCGATTTTACCTTATTGATACAAATAAGTCATATTTCCATTCCCCTATTATATATCCCCAATCATGTTATTTCAAAATTTGTGATTAATATTTTCAAACCTCTATATATATATATCATGCAACCAATCATCTCAAAATTGACAATCCATTAATTTCAATAATCTCACAGCCAAACCATCTTCAGGTTGTATATCTCCAAGTGATGTTAGCAACTATAAACAATATGTCGAAAATTTGGTTGAACCGGACTAAGTAGGTCAAACTAGTTTGGGATTGAATCAACCAAACTAGTTTGGAGTTGACTGACCAAATCAAATATTCTAATTCCACGAAGGAATATGTCCCTTTGGTTTATTGCCAGTTGCATTTTCATGGATAAAGACAAGATTTCGCGGAGTAATGCTTAATTGATAAGGACAACATTACGTGTAAATATGCTTCATAGATAAGAGTCACCTGTCATAAAACAATGATTTTCAAGTTGAAGCAATGCATGGATTCTGACCCTATAAAAATATATTTGTAAAGTGTGGAGTGGATGATGCAACGACAATAATGAAACGGACTTCTAAGTGATTTAGTGTTCTTAATCCTAGAACCTGAAGTGATGGTCGTTTTATTCTCTAAAGAAATTTCCCGTAATCCAAAGGTGTGTGGAGGGTGGAAATATTTTTTTACAAAAAGTAAATGTGGTTCACAACTCTATCACAATTCTAATCATAAGATTTGGTCTATCGTACATATAGTCTCATCTGTTCAAACCCAAAACACTCTATATAACTATCATGATAAAGTATAATTTCACTACTATATTTGGTGACGCGCAACTAGGGGTGATAATCGGTTGGCGGTTTCTCGGCTAAACCGAAAATCGACCTGAACCGAAAACCGACTGCTTGCCTTCGGTGTCGGTGGCGGTGTTCTGTTTTGGTGATTTCTATTCACCGAAAACCGCAGGTGGAGAAACCGAGATAAACTCGGTGCACCGAGTAACCTTCCCGAATCTATTACCTCCACTCTGCTCTGCCACATCGCCACTTACTCTCTTCTTCTCGTTCTCTCTTCTCCAATTCTTGTTCGCTCTGCTCTCCCTCCGACCGCCTCATCCTCTGGCAGATGAAGACTCAGTCGGAGGCGACGACATCTCAACCCAACCCTTGACGACGGCGACATCTCAATCACAACTGATCTGGTCCCTCTCTCTTCTCAGTCTCACCATCAGATTTGAGACCGCCTTCGATCTGCACCCTCAGTCTCGATCTTGCCCAGATCGAAACATGCAACAACAAGCACAAGTGAAAGGGGAGAGAAATAGAGAGGGAAGACGAGGCGATGGTGACGATGATTCGGGGATGGCGACGAATCGACAATGGCGACTGCGACGATGAGGAAGACGCGGGGATTGTGGCGGCGCTCTTTTTCCCCTAATCTCCCTCCGATTCCAAGTCTCAACCCCTCCGTCCGCCATCGAAATCCAGCGAACGAAAGCCAAGAAGGAGAAGCGGTAGCTGCAGTGGTGAAGATCGATCGCCGGTCGTCGTCGCCATCCCGTCGTCATCTCGTCCTTCTTCATCCTCCAGATCGAAGGCCAGGCGGCAGTAGCAGCAGGTCGATTTGATCGATCCTCTGTAGCCGGCAGTCGCAGCAGGCCGATCCTTGGTCGCCGTCATCGTCCCCTGCATCGCCTTGTTCCATCCTCACCGCCGTCCCTGAAGCTGAAATCGCCGTCATCCCTTCCACCCATCCCTTCCGTCGGTCTTCAGCTAACCGCGACACCGACCCGAAACCGTCAACGGCGGTTTTCGGCTAACCGATAAGTCTATCGGTGTCGGTGGCGGTTGCTGTTTTTGGGTACTCGTCGGCTGCGGTTAACCGCGGTTGCGGTTCGGTTAAAATCGAAACCGCACCGCTAACAGCCCTACGCGCAACCACGTACTTACAAAAAGCCATGTATCATTTCCCTTAGGGATGACAATGGGCCAGGTTTCTCTAAACCATCCTCATCCCCATTTCTAATATTCAAACCCCATACCCGCCCCATACCCATGCAAGAGAGGATTGCAACCCCATCCCCATACCTGTGGTTTTTGGATACGTGTGGACAATACCTGCCCCCATATATCCAATCTTGCTATGCTTAGAATTCAACATTTAGACTTTTACTTATAACACTGATTTAACCTAATAAGTCAGGAACTCAATAAAGCTACAACCAGTCTTAATACGAATTCAAAGCATTCATTCACCTCTAAGTCCGACACATTTACTAAGCAATAAATAGCTAACATAATCATGTAAACAAGGCGGAAGAAGTGAAAGAGTGACCACTCAATTACGTTTCATATCTTACTTTTTTAGAATTATCCTTCCCGTCATTGGGAGATTAAAATATAGTAATCCTTTTTTTAAATACGAAGATATACTCTTAGTTGGGGGTATGATTATTGAGAGACTAAAACCATACCCGTCCCATTCCCATCCCATCAAACATTTTGCTAGTTTTATCCATACTCGTCCTATATCCAGTTAATGTAGAGATTTTCATGTTGTCTAGATCTGGAGTAATTGGATACTGGGGTTGATGGGAAACGGATCCGGTCAGTAACCTTGTGGTGAGTAACCATGCATAACCCAATCACCATCTGCCACATCAACGCTCCTTCTCTCTCTTAGAAAATTTTTAATTTCCCTTCTTAATCTTTAAGGGACGATATCTCACTCGTTTTAATTTGAAATTTAATTTTTTTTGCACAGTTAGATCATATTAATTGTGCTCTTCAAAATAATATCCACTTTGATATATTTTTGAAACAAAAAAAATTGAGTCATTTTTTACAAGTCTATACCATATGATATTTACTGGTATTGAAATAAGAGCATATCATATGGTATGAAAAGAGTACCACGGTGGTATGAACATACCAAGACTGTAGGATGGTTGAATACATGATAGTAGGAGTATACTAACTGTCATTTACGACTTTTAACACTGTGTACCACAATATACCACCCCGTACCAGTGTGGTATCTTTTGGTCATGTATTTTGTTCACCCAAAATTTTTTAGATACAACAAATCATGATGAACTCGTTCCTTCTGTGCAAAAATTTTCAAAAATGATTTAAAAACGAAGAAGATACAATATGGTATGCAATTAGTAACAAGATGGAAGATTTTTTCCAAAAAAATATTGAAAATTGATATAATTTTGTAGAGCACAACGAACTCGTTCCATATGTGCAAAAAAATTGAAATCCGAGTTAAAAAGAAAAAAATACGAGTCGATTAAGAAAACAAAGAAAAATAAAAAATGTCTTTAATTTTCCACCTTTGGATCTGAATTTTCTGAATCAAGAGTTCATATTTAGTTACTTATAAGTACATAATCCATGGTTATGCAACTTATCTCGAGATGGATTTGATGTGCCCTCAAATTTCTTTTTTTAATGAATTTGTCCTAAACCTTTTGTTTTATGCAATTGACATTTCCTTTGTTAGTTGGACAAATGATCAACGAAATCACGTTTAAGTTAAGACTTTTAATTCTTTACCCAAAGTATATTTAATTATACATTTGTGTTTGGTATTTTTGCTCGGTGTTACATTGCAGGTTTTGCATTCGGTATATTTCGGCTTAAAGAAGGTGCTTCAAGAAGTTTGCCGAAAAGGACTTCTTTTGCGTTTATTCGTTTTTTATGTTTCTAGACCTACTAACAGGGCTGCCCATTACATGGCGAAAACGGCTCTTGCATCAAAAAATCAGCATTTGGCTGATTACCGTTATTTACTTTTCACCACTTTGTAATTCCCTATCTATCTTAATAAAAAAAAGGGTTAATACCTTAGTTTGACCCAAACTATAGACAAACTTTCTACTTTGGCCCGTGGTATCGGAAATTGTTATTCTGGCATAAACTATGTAGCATACTTCCTTATTTGGCCCGAAGGTGGGTTTGACCGTCAAATTAGATGGTCAACCGAGTTGACCGTTAGTCAAGGTCCACCTCACTTGCCACGTCAGCTATCACGGAATAAAAAATTATTATTTTTAATTTCTGAATTTTGTTTACTTTCTAATAATAAAAATGATAAACAAAAAAATAATTAAAGAAGAAAAAAATTAATTAAAAGAGGTCCCCAAATTATCCCAGCCCCTCTTTTAATTAATTTTTAGGGTGTCTTTAATTAATTTTTTTTATTTTTTTTATTATTAGAAAGTAAAAAAACCCAGAAATTCAAAAAAATATTAATTTTTTTATTCCTTGATAGCTGACGTGGCAAGTGAGGTGGACCTTGACTAACGGTCAACCCGCCTCTGAGCCAAATAATGAAGTATGCTACATAGTTTAGGCCAGAATATCAATTTCTGATACCAGAGGCTAAAGTAGAAAGTTTGTCTATAGTTCGGACCAAACTAAGGTATTAAAAAAAAAAAAAAAAGCCATCCTTGTTGTCAAACAAAGGAAATGGAAAGAAAGGACGGAGTGGACCTTCTGCGCTGCGCGCCTCTTTAGTGCGTCGTGTTTAGTGGCGTGTTTACAAGCACAAAGCAACGAGTAGTAGTGTAGTACAAAAAAAATGAGTAAAAACATGTTGAGCCTCTTAACTGTTGCACTGCAGTAGTAGGGTTGCTGTGTTGTGCGAGCGGGGATTGAAGGGTTTGCTCTTTGCAGCAGATAAACGCCACCGCGACTCGACTCGACTCCCCCGCTTCCGCTTTCTTCCTCCCTCGTCCGCCTCTTTGCTTCCTTACTCCGCTCAGACCACCGCCTCCGATTGCGGTTACCAATCTTTCTCCTCCACTAATCCCTAAATCTCGACCTCTTTCATCTCTATCTCCCTAAAACCCTATCTATCTATCTATCTATCTATCTATCTATCTATCTATCCAGCTTCCTTCATTTATTCCTTTCTCTGATACTAACAATGGGAGCTTCTTTGCCTCCCAAAGAGGCCAACCTCTTCAAGCTCATCGTCGTAAGTCCTCTGTCTTCCCCCGTTCCCGAGTTCTTGCTCCTCTGTCGTTCACCTTGTTCTTGATGTGTGTTCTTTTTGCCTGCCGCCACCGATTGTACTGAACTCTGTCCGCCGGTCCTAATTCTTTTACTTAGATGGATGAATGTTGGTTGCGGTGCTAGTTAGTTTAGAAGTTTTGTTGCTTCGCATCGAACTAGACTGTATGCCCCTATGGATTTTGTTCATGGGCTTAGTGAATTAGACCGAGAAAATGGAGTCACATGCGATCGAGCAATTGTGTTGGTTGAAACTCGGCATGCTAGGGATTTCTTCTCACCGACTTTGTTCTTTGTCTTCTGCTTCCATTTAGTGGATCAGTGTCTTCTAGTTGGCGGAGTGTGTTCATGCAAGAAGCGGCCGCATGCGCCATTATACTCGGTTTCCGATAGGATTCCAGAGCGTGATGGTTAGGTTGTGAGTATGTCCAATCAGGTTGAGTTATGCTGCATTGCTGTAAGTACATAGGCTAGGATGCTGTAGACCATTTCATTTACAACTAAGCCCCAGTGCAAATTTGGCAGTTTGCTATTGCATTTCTGGGAAATGACTAAGACAGCCATTGCTTAGCTCGGGAATGATATAAGTCCAGAATTACTATTAATGAGTTGACACACGATTGATAGTGGATGTTAATTACAGGTCTACTTCCTTTCCATAGAGATTGCGGGCCAATATAGCGCAACTTCTACTACTTAGATCTTACCTATATTCACAGTTCCAAGTTGCGTCTGTTTTGATTTCTTTATCTCATCTAGTGAGCGAGGTAACCAATTTCATGTCATATGATCTTCCTTAACTCTGTTAAATGTGGCAGAAATCATATGAAACCAAGCAGTATAAGAAGGGGTTGAAGGCAGCTGATGCTATACTAAAAAAGTTCCCTGACCATGGAGGTAAATTTTCTTGCTGTATGAGTTGATGAAACCCGATGCAATACATTAGTTCTTGGATTGTTTCTGACTATGAGAATTTGAACGTTGACTCCTTAGTTTATTATCTGTTCACTCATTAGTATGGAGGTATTTCTTGCTGTTTGAGTTGTTGAAACTTGAAGCAATACGTTAGTTCTTGGATTGTTTCTGATTATGAAAATTTCAACCCTTATTCCTTAGTTAGCTGTTACCTCACTATTTCTTTCAATGCAATGCATCCTGTGTCAATGGTTCCTGCTAAGGAATGGAAAACCAAAGTTTGACTTAGATTTCCAAGAGATTTTCACAATTAGATGCTCCCTTGAAATGCCATTCACACAACTTGATTGAAAAATCTGGGTCCATGATCTTGACTCGGCCATGTTGCATAACACATTCTTAGGATGAACACAATGCCTGTTTGTTCGTGTCGCTGATGTAATTATTACCTGCTCGAACCTAGTATCTGGAAACATTATAGCATGGTGGTACAGTATCATTCTCTGTTGCTTTCTAATTATGGTGTAATTACAGTTAGATGTAGTGCAGTTCAGTATACAGGTCTGGGTAGCATTTTTGTCATATAAAGAGCTCTGTTTTTGTTGCTTGAAATTTGCCCTTTTCTAACCGTCTTCGCTTGGTCAGAAACTTTGTCGATGAAGGGCTTGACATTAAATTGCATGGATCGTAAACCTGAAGCGTATGAACTTGTCCGGATGGGGTTGAAGGTTGAGATACTATCTTTGACTGTCTGAGCATTTGGCCCAATTGTTTCTACTTTGCTGTTTTTCTGAAGTATGAACATGTTTATTGAATGTGCTTATTCTGCAGAATGACCTTAAAAGTCATGTTTGCTGGCATGTTTATGGTCTCCTCTATCGGTCTGATAGGGAGTACAGAGAAGCTATCAAATGCTATCGTAATGCACTGAGAATAGATCCAGACAATATTGAAATTCTGCGTGACTTGTCCTTGTTACAGGTACAAATTAGTAATCCTCTGCTTCTTTGTATGTGGTTTGTCATGCAACTTAATTTCAATGTGCTTTTGGTTCTCTCATCCTGTTTGAGTCTTAACTTGAGTGACGGTTAGGTCATTCTGTTCGTTTTGTCGTCCCAATACAATTTACATTACCATGCGATCACTCAACAACACTTCCACAACTGATTTGATGTATTTTGCAAGTGTGTATGTCAGTCACTTCCAACTGCACCAATTGTCAGAACCACGCTGGGTTGGGGGGGGGGGGGGGGGGGGGGGGGGCAGGGGGAGACCAGGATTTTTCTACTGACTGTCACATGTTGCTGCACCTCAACTGTTCTTTTTCTTAACATTCATTTAGATAAAATACTACCCATTTGTGAAAGCATCCACCCACAGAACCTTTCTTCTTAATTTGAGAGTTCACCATGACCGATTGATATTTAGAACTTAGAAGTCCCTAGTTTCCGTTTTGTGTTTATTAGATCTGAGCAATTGTGATTGGCTGTAGTCTGGTTCTAGTTGTATCTGTCTGACTAGCCGCTTAGAGAATTGATTAAGTTATCGTTCGGCAACTGTGGTTGGATATTCCCTTCAAGTTGGCAGCTGCTTTCTGGGTTGCTTCCTTATCTTTGTTGTCTCGTATTGTAACATGTTTTTGGATGAGTACATGCTTACCTTGTCAAACTGTGGAGTGCAGGCACAAATGCGGGATTTGGATGGTTTTGTCCAGACTAGGCAACAACTACTGACCTTGAAACCAAATCATCGGATGAATTGGATTGGCTTTGCGGTTTCTCACCACTTGAACTCAAAGTATGGTTGGCCTCTGCATTTATTTACTTACTGTGAAAGGTTTTTTTCCGTTGAATTAGTTTCCTCTTATTAAAATAAAGACAGAACTGTGAAAGGTTAACTTGCCATAAACATAATTTTTCTATCATGTTAAGGATCTCTTAGATGCGAAACTGTTAGTAGTCATTGTTGGATGGCAATCTTATGCCATATATTCTATGGTCTGTTTTGCATTTTTTTTTTCAACAATCAATCTATTGTAGATGTTGCCTTGCCATGCGTTCACAATTCCATTTTTCGGACTTCTCACAGGATTGTCCCTTTTATGCCACTGAATAATTCCACCTTTTCTTTACCAGTGCATCGAAAGCAGTAGAAATTCTGGAAGCCTATGAAGGAACCTTAGAGGATGATTATCCTCCGGATAATGAGCGATGTGAACATGGAGAAATGCTTTTATATAAGGTGGGACTGTGGTCACTAATGCATCTGTATCTTGGCATGCGTATTTCATGTCTTGGATCTTGAAATTCAAACATGCATGGAATCATTGACTGAATTAAAAATTGTGGCATGTTTTGGTCATATGGATTCTGGATTATGCCGTCAGTGTATCTGGCTCTCAATCTGAGAGCTTTCAAGATATATTTGTAGTTCTGGATTTATATATTGAATTTCTCAGCTGCTGAGATTTGGTTTCCTTCCCTTTCACGTGCTGAAATTTTTGAAAAAAGATCTATGTTCAGTGAAGTATTTCTGTGTAGTTTTTATACTGTTTGCCTGTCTGTGCTTGTTTTGTGTACGAATGCATGCATGTTGTTCCTAGAACAAGAGCAGTAATTGGCATGGCTATTGCAGTTGTTTAATCAGTGGATATATTTTCCCTGTAGGTATCTTTACTAGAGGAATGCGGCTCCCACGAGAGAGCTTTTGCTGAGTTGCAGAAGAAGCAGTTTAAGATTGTAAGTCCCGAAGCGAAACTGTTGGGAAGTCGATATGATGTAACTTTTGCAAGAGTGATCACTGTGGGTGATTTAAAAATTTCAGGTTGATAAATTGTCATTCAAGGAACAAGAGGTTACTCTACTAGTAAAGCTTGGACGCCTTGAAGAAGGTGCTAAACTGTACAAAGCATTGCTTTCAATGAATCCTGACAATTACAGGTGATTGGTCGTAATCCTTCAATAATCAATACAAAGTTTATAATTTCCAGATAAAATAAATATGAATTCGGACTTGCCTTATATCATACAATGCTTTGTAGAGCTATTCCTGAAGACTTAATGGTGCACATATAAATGCCTCTTGCATACTTCCCCTTGGATATTAGTCTTGTAAGGTTGAGAAAGGAAATTACATTGTTTCGTTTTCTACTGTTCAGATATTATGAAGGCCTGCAAAAATGTGTTGGACTTCGTTCTGAAAATGGTCAATACTCTTCTGATGAGATTGATAAGCTGGATGCTTTATACAAGTCACTGGGTCAGGACTACACCTGGTCATCTGCTGTTAAGGTGATGTTACTCCATCTATTGTAATTCTTAGTGATATTTTGTTATACTGATTGAATTTGCATCAGGAAATTTATGCCAATGGCGACATGGCTACCTGATGAATTTTTTTGAGTTTGTCCTTTAATACCATCTCTTCCATTGATTTCAGAGAATACCACTTGACTTTCTCCAAGGGAACCAGTTCCATGAAGCTGCTGATAAGTATATAAGACCCCTCCTAACAAAGGTACTGATACTGTAGTTTAATCAGCAAGTTTAATGCCTTGTCAAATGGGTGCACTTAAATCCTATCTTGCTGACTTACTAGGGAGTTCCTTCATTATTCTCGGATCTGTCTCCTTTATATGATCATCCTGGCAAGGTTAGTAACCCATTTACATTTGATACTTTTTTCTCTTTTCCTTTATTTGTTGGCCTTGCCCATTTTCTTTTGAATGACTCAAAGGAACTTTTGGGTGTTTGTCTTAAAAATGTTTGTAGGCTGAGGTACTGGAGCAACTTATTCTTGAGTTGGAGCATTCAATCAAGGCCAATGGGACTTACCCTGGAAGGTAAATGTGCTTATTTAATTGTAAAATCGAATCTGTTTCTCTGTTTTGAATGTTGAAAATGTCATGTTTAGGCTGTGGATTCTCTCACTGGGAGTGATAGCTAATGCTCTCTGCTCTTGCATTTTTAAGCTTCCACTTAGATCCAAGTCAATGAATATGTAGGCTGGGGCCAGAAGAAAAATGGAAAAAATTTAGAAATAAGATGGGAAATCTATGATACTGGTACGGACCTGTGGACTATGGTATATCTTGAATTTTGGTTAACCACTGGAGCTATCAACGTGTCTCGTTAATCTCTTGATTAGAAGGAAACTGATCCATGGCATTCTCTTGCTGATTATGCACTAATCAAGTCCTGCACGAGCTACTAATTTTTCCAAATAAACAAGAGTATGCTGAAGATGCAGGGATGAATATGAATTATTTCTGTGTATGCATTTGGTAATGCTTTTGTGTCACCGAGTGCAGAGTGGACAAGGAGCCCCCTTCAACACTCCTGTGGACATTATTTTACTTGGCACAGGTTCTTATCATTTCACTGATGGTTTCTCCTATTGCTTTCTTATGTGTTTAGTGGTACCTATAGTAATTTTTAACTGCATCTTGTTATTCATCTCCACTTTCTGCAGCATTATGACCGAAGGGGGCAATACGACCTTGCTCTGACCAAAATTGATGAAGCGATATCACATACTCCAACAGTGATTGATTTGTACTCTGTCAAGGTAGGCTGACCCCATCCATCTTTGAGGCTTTGTCCTGTTGTTTTCTCTCCTTTTCTTGTTCCAATGAAAGCTTCATGTTGACTGAACTGGATGTTTCATATGGTTCTATTTGTAGGCTGGGTGACAATAGTATCTGGCATTTGCTTCTCCTCACATTGCCTTGTTAATTAATCTTGTCTATGCAGTGTGTCCTTGATTTGGATCTTAAGAAAACTAACATGAAGAATATGGATCTTTGTTGATTCGAATATTTTTTGAGATGGGTGCATGAGTCTGGTTATTTTCCCTCAATCACAGAGCCGTATTATGAAGCATGCTGGGGATTTGCCAGCAGCTGCTGCATTGGCAGATGAAGCTAGGTGCATGGATCTTGCTGATCGGTACATAAACAGTGAATGTGTCAAGCGCATGTTGCAGGCAGATCAGGTTAGTTTTTTCTTTTGTTCCATCTGCTAATATTGAGTTTTTAGTGCTTCCTGTGCAGCCTCTTTTCACAATTGTGTTTGATGTTGAACCTTAATTTAAAGGTGCCTTTGGCTGAGAAAACAGCTGTTCTGTTCACTAAAGATGGAGACCAGCATACCAACCTTCATGATATGCAGTGCATGTGGTTTGTCTCTACTGCTAGCTTATTTGTCAATTTCTCTTATACTTGTTTAAATCTGCATTTTGCTTTCTGTAATGACATTGTTTAATTTGCGTTTCTGGAAGGTATGAACTGGCTTCTGGTGATAGTTATTTCCGCCAAGGAGATCTAGGCCGTGCTCTCAAGAAGTTTTTGGCTGTTGAGAAGCATTATGCTGATATTACAGAAGATCAGTTTGATTTTCATTCATATTGCCTAAGGAAGATGACTCTTCGTGCCTATGTTGCAATGCTTAAATTTCAAGATCGTCTCCATTCACATTCTTACTTCCAGAAAGCAGCCTCTGGAGCTATCAGGTAAAATCCAATTTGAATAAGACTGTACTTGCTTTCTTTTGAATAAGCTTCTTCTACACACTTCACTTTCTGTTTTGCTGATCGATCAACTTTTTTATTTCTTATCCTATCTTTCTGCTATGGTTTGCACTGCTGATACTTTCTGTTTCATATGGTGCTTTGTTTTACTGGTGTTGACTGAAACACAGGTGTTACTTGAAGTTGTATGATTCCCCGTCTAAGTCTACTACTGAAGAAGATGATGAAACATCAAAGTTGCTGCCTTCTCAGAAGAAGAAAATGAGGCAAAAGCAGAGGAAGGCAGAAGCCCGAGCTAAGAAGGTAATACCCGTTTTTCTTTGGCCTTCACCTGACATGGTTTATGTAGCTTTTATAATTGGTTATGGTTATGTTTCTCATCAGGAGGCAGAGGTGAAAAATGAAGAACAGAGTGCTAGTAGTATCTCAAAGTCTGGGAAGCGACATGTCAAACCTGTAGACCCAGATCCAAAGGGGGAAAAGTTGTTGCAGGTTACTTGTATTTCCTACTTGATTTCTCTTTGGTTCTTAGTTTACGAATATAAGATGTCCTAATTCAGGATGCATATTACTCTCCTATCCGATTATCTATTATTCAGGTTGAAGATCCATTACTCGAAGCTACCAAATATCTGAAGTTACTTCAGAAAAACTCTCCCGACTCTTTCGAGACGCACTTGCTTTCTTTTGAAGTAAATATTAGGAAGCAAAAGGTTCTACTTGCTCTGCAGGTATCTATCTCACGAATTGCCTACAATAGATTTGCAATGTGAAAAAAACTCTATCATCTAAGTATCTTGAGTAGCTTTGTTTTATGACTATTGGTTGATGTTATTTTTTTTTGTAACTCTACTTCTGCAGGCCTTGAAGCAGATGCTGAGGTTGGATGCTGAAAACCCAGATTCTCACCGATGTTTGGTATGTGTAATATCACCAACTAGTGTTTTGGTTTTGTTTAGCCGTTATTTGCAGAAGCTGTATCTGGATATAGGCATACTTGTCATGTCCCCTTATAAATTTTAATTCTGTACTCTCTATGCTGTAGATAATGTTCTTCCATAAGGTGGACTCAACAACTACTCCAGTAACAGATGCCGAGAAACTTATTTGGAGTGTCTTAGAAGCAGAGCGTTTATCACTCAGGTTATTTTTGAAACTCGCACCTCTACCTTTTCCCCTATAGAAATGCTTGTGGTATTGGCTCCCAATTAGATATGTTGATTCCCTGCTTATTTTAATGTAGTCAATTGCATGAGAAATCTCTACTGGAGGCAAACATGTTCTTCCTTGAGAAGCACAAAGGTTTATTTCCTACCCTTCTGCCATGTATATTGTTTTCGAAACGGTTGATACTCATCTAATTGCCAACTGATGTCTGCTTGATTTTCTTGTACAGAGTCTTTGATGCATAGAGCTGCAGTTGCCGAAATGCTCTATGTTTTAGAACCTAGCAAGAAATGTGAAGCCGTTACGTTGATTGAGGAATCATCTAACAACATTATCCCAAGGTAAGGTTTTGAAGTTTACTTACTACGGCAACGATACCTTAATATGTAAACCATGCTGTAAAAGTTTTATAATTTCAACGGTTTTGGTGGCAGTGGCGGGGCACTTGGGGCAGTAAGTGTATGGAGACTCAAGGACTGCATTGCTGTACACAAATTGATAAATACAGTTCTTGCTGACCAAGATGCTGCAATCAGTAAGCTCTCGAACTCTTACATCGCAACTAGGCGACTTTCATTTGCAAATATTTTAATGTCTGAATGTGTTGCCAGGGTGGAAAGGGCGATGTGCTCAGTACTTCCCTTACTCTACATACTTTGAAGGTAAACTGAGCTCGGCAATGCCCGACTCGGCATACAATCAAATCGGCGGCAAGTCCCCTGAAAATGGGACTGCTATAAGCCATACTCATGGTGATAAGATCACAGATTCCATAGCATCAAATGGGAAGCTAGAGGGCTTCAAGGAACTGACCATCTGAGAGATCTGTATGGCGGGTGCTTAGGTTTGTGATCCGCGATTTAACCATGCAGCCACAGAAAAATGTAGTCGGTTAAGGGATGATTCAAGAGGTTTTGTATTCTTTCTGCTGCTCATCCTCTCTCTGCTATCATTGATTTTGAAAGAAAAAAAAAAGGTTTGCCCACCACCTTTTCCCTACTATTTGCTATACCGTGCAGCTCCTTCCCAGTGGGAACTGGATTCAGTTGCAAATGTGTATAATAGACTTCTGCTGCTGATGTCTTTTAGAAGGGGTTTTGTTTTCAATTAACACACAGTAGCTACCTAGGGCGAGATCTCAGATAAAAGGGTGGCTTCCATAAATTTGCACCAAGCTAGAATTGCATGCAAGTTTTTGTATCACTCTGGGTCAGGGGAGAACAACTGCAGAATTGATGATGGTCGGGATGCTGGTTGTGTCGTCAGCCGCTCGCGGCGTATTATAGAACAGTAGAGCTGATGTAGTAGGGAGCTTTGTTGTACCGTTTTTCAAGATTCCTGGTTTGTTTGTTTTTTGAATTTCTTTTCTTCAAAATGGTTGTTAGTTTTCTTGCCATGTATAAACACAGCTTCATATTGTGAAAATTTTGCTACAGAGTCTAGATACATATCACGCTTGGTTGGTTACATGGATTTTAGGCTTTTACACGGAAATAATAATGATTAAAGGGTTATGAAATTGTAAGGTGGAGACCAGATTCAATATAAAACTTTTTACTGCTTATCGTTGAAGTATCAAAGCATGTTTACATTATGGTAAAAGCTTCTTTTTATTAAAGATTCAGTGTGCAATTACGCCAACTGTAAGTATATAAAAAAAAATCACGAGCCCAATTTGACTAGTCACAACCCTACACATCAGCTTACTAACAAGAAGTTGGTAAATTTGGCTCATTTCATTCACATTTTCCACCTGAGTTAGATTGAGTGGGTGGCAAATGAGTATGATTGAGTTGCAGATTAACATGCAAAAGTGATTCTCTAACTAATTACTGAATGGGCTGACCAATATTTACAATAAATTTCTTGCCAATTAGAAGAGTTGTAGCAATAAAATGCACTTCCAGCTTTGCCTTCCATGGATTTGAGTGGTACTTGGATGCGCAAAGTTTTCTATTACACATGATTTTTTTTTTCCAAAAGATATCATGTATTGATAGAAAAAATAGACAGTTACACCCTGGAAACCAGTCAGGTCTGGAAATTGAAGAAGCGACTCATAGTCGGATACAAAGAGAGGGCTTTCATAAGCTACCAAATGAGCTACCCTATTGTTCTCGCGACCTACAAAACGCACACTAAAGCCAGGCTGAGTACGAAAATAATGTCTAATCTCTTCCAGAATAGCACCCATCCGGCTATCTCTTGTGTCGGCTTGATTAATTTTATCAATAATCACCTTCGCATCGCCCTCAAAACGGACCTCCGACAAGCCTCGCTCCACACACCAAATAATAGCTTCCCTGAGCACAAGCAACTCCACCACTACAGGATCATCCATTTGAGAAAACTGGACCCCTCTAGCCAAAAGGAGTGTTCGCGCTAGGTCAAAAAGAACCATCCCACCAGCCGATGTGATCCACCCTTAGTAGCCCTGTCCCACATGCAAACCAAATGGGAATCATCCACTTGTGTGGTCGGTTGCATCATCGGGATTTGCACCCTAGGCGCCTGGTCCGCAGGTAGGCCACCCATTCCTCAAACTGCTGGTTAAATTGTCGCATGAGTGTTGGGATCCCAAATTGTTTGCCTTCAAAGACTACCCAATTTCGAGATCTCCAGATCCTCCAAAGGACGGCAACAACAGCCATAACCACTGTCGGCTGATGAATCAATGCTAACAGACACTTGAGAAACAAAGGAAAAGTATGCCGAGGTAAACCCTCCCCCAAGTATTCCAGCCCAGAATAATCCCAGAGAGCCCGCGCAACCGGACAATAAAGGAACATGTGCTCCATTGTCTCCGGGGCATCCCAACAAACTGGACACCGAGGTAGCACCTAGACCTTTTTCTCAATAAGCGCCTCTGAAGTCGGCAGAGCCCGATTAATAATTTGCCACACAAAAACCTTCAACTTCGGAGGGATCTTCGCCTCCCAAACTCTAATCCAACTTGGCTTATCCATCCAGCTAACCGAGGATCGCCACCCACCCCTCCTCCTGTCCAAATCGACAACCAAATGGTAAGCCGATTTAACCGAGAAAACCCCGTCGGCCGTAAAATGCCAGATACGCCTATCAGGCACATCCCAACGCGGAAGAGGAATAGCTTTAATAGCCTTACAAGTGGGCGGATCAAACCATTGACTGAGCTTCTCATCAGACCACCTCCCTCCCCCCACCAAAAACATCCGCCACCAAGGGATCACCCCCCTCAGGCAAGATCCGCGAGTTATAACATGGGGGATCTAGCTGGCACCTAGGGATCCAGTTAGCATGGAGGAGGGAGACCGATTGACCATCACCAACCTGCCATCTCAAACCCATCTCCAATAACTGACGCCCATGAAGGATACTCTGCCACCCCCAAGAGGGACGAGACCTAGCCGTCGCCGGCATGAAAGACCCTTGAGGGAAATACTTGCCTTTATAAACCTGGGTAATAAGGGATTGAGGTTCATTGAGAATATGTCAGCCTATCTTAGCCAAAAGAGCTTGGTTGAAATGTTCAAACTGGCGAAATCCCACCCCCCATCATGCTTACTCCTGCACATGTTAAGCCAGGACACCCATCTAATCTTGGGATTCCCGTCCTCGGCACCCCACCAAAAACGGCCCACATGTCTATCTAAAAGACGACAAAGAGCCAGAGGAAGGTGGAAACAGGACATAACATGAAGGGGAAGAGCCAACGATATGGATTTGATCAATGTTTCCTTTGCAGTCCATGACAACGTCCTTTGCTTCCACCCCTGAAGCCGCTCTAGGAGTTTCTCCTCCAAATATATGAAAGTAGCCATTTTGGATCGAGCAACCAGCGTTGGAAGCCCCAGATATTTATCGTGGACCCCCACCGCACCAACCCCGAGGATCGTGGCCAAGAACTCCTGATCCGGCGTGGAAATATTCTTGCTAAAGCACACAGCCGATTTCCACAAGTTAACGAGTTGGCCACTCAGTTCCTCATATTCATTTAGCACTTCAATTAAATTCTCGCACTCCTGTAGGGACCCTCGCAAAAATAAGTACGAATCATCCGCGAAGTACAGATGCGAGACTCTTGGAACCCGAGGAGCTACTTTCACCCCCTCTAAATTTTTCTCCGCGATCGCCTTTCGGAGGAGGGCTGCAAACCCCTCCGTACAGAGAACAAACAAGAGAGGAGAGAGCGGATCCCCCTGGCGAAGGCCCCTAGAGGCAGTGAAATAACCCGAGGGTGTACCATTCATCAGAACCGAGAAAGAGGAGGATCAAAGGCATTCATGCATCTATCCTTGCCAGACTGAATTAAAACCCATCTTATCCAAAACTGCAAGAAGAAAGGGCCATTCGACTCTATCATAGGCCTTTTCCATGTCAACATTCAGAGCCATGTACCCCTTCTTCCCTTGCTTTTTTATTTTCAGATAATGCATTAGTTCATGTCCTATAAGGATGTATCAATAATCTGCCGGTCTCTGATAAAGCCATTTTTCCTTCCGAGACGATCTGAGGGAGCATGCTAGCCAACCGTTCAACCATGATCTTGGTAATCACTTTGTAAACAAACTGGCAGAGACTAATCGGGCGCAATTGTCTAATTGTTTCCACCGAGTCCACTTTAGGGATCAAAGTGAGCCAAGTATGGTTAATCCTATTGGATGGATCGACTTAATCCTATCAATCTCAGCTTGGAGCATCTTGATATTGCGCAGGGAATTAGTTGTGCCCGCCCTGCTCCAATCATAGAGTAGATGACGGAGTTTCTTCAGGCGCTCCCACAGTCGGAACATAGGGGTGCCTTGGATCTCCTCCTGCCAGACATAGTTGACCATGGTCCTTACCTCCGGATTATCCGCCCAACGAGCATCAAAACGGAAAAGGGGTCGACTAGTATGAACATATGGTTTATCAGCAAGGAGAAGGGCATGATGATCTGATCCCTGGTCCGTGAAGTGCTTGACTAAAGTCTCCGGGTCTGTATCAATCCAGGACTGAGAGCAAATCGCTCTATCCAGACGTGCACGAATGCAAGCATCGCCCATGCGTTTATTTGTCCAAGTAAATTGATCCCCTTGGTAACCAGGGTCATGGAGACCCAAATCATGAACAAATTCACGGAGACTAAAGGCTTGGGCAGCATTCTATGCCCGTCCCCCATCTTTTTCACTCTCATGAAGCGTAGCATTGAAATCGCCTATGACTACATAAGGGTGGTTGATATTCGCACACACGTTCCGCAAATGAGCCAGTTGGGTAGCTCGAATAGCAATGTTACAGCTAATATAAACAAAGACCACCACATAAGAAAAATCTCCTTCATTAATAAGCGGACAAACATAGAAATTTGAATGACAAAACACCGAAGTGTCAACTCCGGGGGCCCAAGCAACTACTAAACCACCCGATGCATCGACTGCATCTACAAAAAAACAATGAGAAAGAGCAAAACCTAGACCCCGCATACGGCGGGACACTACACGCCGGCTCGATCGCGTCTCCGAGAAAAGCACGAGATCCGGTTTATTGGAATGAACAAGCCCTAAAGCAGTTTGGAAAGTGAGGGACGGCCCAATTCCACTCACATTCCAAGCGAGAAGCCTCATTTATCCTCCTGGGGCCACTCAAGGCTGGCTTCCTCCACCTTATCCAGATCATCAATCGATTCCACTAACTGTTTCTTTGGGGTAGGAGGGTTACCCACATCCCCCTCCAACTCATCAAGCACACGTTTCCTATTCTCCATGATAGGGTCCATCATATTAGACCCGTATTCATTCAGCCTTGAACTCACTCCCTTGGCCACATCATCCTCCTCCCTTGCAATAACTAACCCAGATTCAAATGCCTCCACCACTTGGTGAACACGCCTTTCATGATATGGCGAGTTTTCCTGGTGTCCTCGGCTGGCCACCGTCGCTTGATTTCAAAGGAGTGATGCTCCTCAGCTGCCTGATCATCATTAGAGTCAAAGTCATGTTGTTGATCCACATCAGCAGGCTTTTCCAATGTTGCAACAAATTCCTTCTCCTCCACGTCAAGCAGATCACCAGAAGGAGTAGAGCCCCCATCCTTGTGGGCCGAGTTAAGAGGACAATCTGCTCCTCCTTTTCGAAGACGTGGGCGAGCCCTGGGTTTCTTGTCAGGTTCCTCCGCCAGACCAACAGGAGTACGCAGCTTCATAGGGGGGTTATACCCACCGCCAATGATCTCCTCCTCCCCCTCAGATTCCTCATGTAAAATCAACCTGCGCCTCCTTGAGTGCTCGAAAACTTCCGCCATCTGACCCACAACCTGCTGGCAGTGTGAAGCCTGCTTGGCACGGCGGCTAGGCTGCTGGCGCCCCTTAGTGCCCTGCCGAGGAGGAGGTACAACCTTTCTGGGTGATGCCTTCTTCTGCGGTTTTCTAGCACTTCCACCAATCTTAACCCGAGGAGATGTCTTGAAGACACAACGCTTAGGACTAGCCCGACCCCCAAGGGAGTTAGTAGAAGGGGCCTGATGCCTAGTCTGTGTCTCTCTCTTCTTCTGAGCTTCCGACTCTCT